TCAGGAAAATAAGAAATTGGAAATAAATGGGTGCATCCAAACTAAGTACATTGGTGTCTTTCTTTGAGGAAACAAAACACTAACATATTATTTGGTTAAATATGACCCTCGACCAACCACGATGTTGACTTAGCTAGGGAAAGAAGCCAAGCAAAGTAGTCACTGTGGTTCTCTTTCCTTTGCTTCTGCCAAAAGCAGAGCGTGTCTGCTGGCCCAGGTCATCTGGCTGAAGACACATCCTATGCTCGCCTGAGACCTCCCACCTCTCCTGGGCTGCCCAGCCAGCATCTGTGCAAAACAGGGGAACTTCACTGCTGTTCCGGATGGAGTGAAAGAGGGAGGTCCTCGAATCAGACTGGGTTAAATCCCAGTGCCATCACCTACCAGCTCTGTGACTTTGGGGAAGTCCCTCAACTTTTCTCAGCCTCAATTTCCATAAGTGTGAAACTAGGATAATAATTTCTAACTTTCAGAGTGGCTGTGAAATTCAATGAGGCAAGAGATGTAAAGCACTTAGGAGTTCCTGGCCTAGCAAAGACTCTCCCTGCTGTGGACTCATCTCTATCCCTCCTCCCCGGCTGCCCTGCCGGCTGCTTCCACGCTGGCCAGGTTCTGACAGCAGCCTGCTCAGTCCTCTCTGTCTGTTTTTCTTCCCATCTCAAGTTCAGATCCTACCGTAGTGACTCTCTAAGTATAGTATGGTATGACAGTGTCAGCCTATAGTTTGAAGGGGTTCCTATGCTAGAAATCTCATGGACGTTTTCTGTCTTTTCTTGACTCTCGGCACCTTCTCCACTGCATTCTGACCTGGCCCCACCCATGACTGTGGCTTACCTCAACTTCATTTCCTGTCCTGACTCCTTGGACCAGTCATTGTTCTCGCTGTTCCTAGGTTTCAACTGTTAAGAGGAAACCGCACTATCTGCAATTAGCCATTTTGCAGAACCAGCCTGCGAGTGCATATCAACATCACCTGTGTACTGAGCGCCTACTGGATCCATGTTTCTGCACCAGGAGAAAACACAGGAGGGAAAAGATGTAGTTTCTGCCCCCAGGGACTCCTGGGTCAGAGAGAGTTCCAGTGCCAGGTATATGTATGGCACAACTATAAACAGGTATCGCTGAAAATAGGAAGTTATTTCCATGTAAACGCGGTGTCACCTTGGCCTTTAATGCTATCAGAGGAGCCAAGAATAAACCATTAGCCGTGATATCACATGGAAAATGATATAAGAAAGACAGAGAGAGGTAGGGAGAAAGGAAGGGGAGGCAGGGAGGGAGGGAGGAAAGAAGGAAGGGAAGGGAGAAATGAAAATATACGAACAGAAGAGGAGGAGAGAAACCATGAGGAAAGAGAAAAGCAGGGGTATATGCAACAAACGTCACCAGGTCTAACTCCCATCTAATGCTTGAGTTTCCCTGGCATTTCCGCCCATTGGCGTTAACTTCTGCCCGAAGTGTTCCAGGGACAGAACTGCCGATGAATCCTGGAGCCCATTCCATGTTGGACAGTGATAATTATTAGAATGGCCTTCCTATTGTTTTTCTCCATTGATTTTAGGTCCCCTCTGGGGCCCGAAGCTAACCCATGCTTCTTTCCCTGGCTTTCGGAAGCTTCCTGATTTGCGCTGCATCCAGCTCTGGCACTTTTTGTGCGCTGTGTTCCCTGGGCTTCCTCTCAGTTCCTCTAACACACCCAGCACATTGCTGCCGGAGAGCCTGCCGACCACAGCCCTCGTCTCCTGCTCCTTGCATGAGACATGCGCACAAACAGATGCACGTGAGCTTTTCAGGTTTCAGCTTGTGCTGTCGTCTTTCTGGAGGAGCCTTTCCTGACCACCATGGCTGATATAAGCCTCTGCAGGAGGGTAGATTTGATGACATTAATAAAAATCTTATAGCAAAGGCCCTACAACCCAAGTCAAAGATTAAAAAACAAAAAACTGGGAAGAATATTTACATATTAATATTACAGGGCTAATTTCCTTAAAATATAAAGGTTTTTTACAGTTCAATAGGAAAGAGAACAATTGGGTTATTGGTCTATGAAAACAAAATGGGCAAAGGATATAAACCATTGACCAAACAAGCAACCTACATACGTGGCTCAAACATATGAAAAAGTACTTAAATTTCAATGTTGGGTGGGGTGTGGGAGAGAGAGAAAGAGTGTTTTATCTGTCAGATAAACAAAAATATAACAATAACGATATTGTATCAGCAAGGGTATGGGAACCAAGTGCCCTTATATCCTGCTGATAAGAGTGTAAACTGGAACAAGTTCTACAGACAGTAATGTGATAATATTTATCAAAATTACAAACACACAAACCCTCTCACCCAGTGATTTTTACTTCTAGAAATTTGCCCCACAGATACGCTTTCAAGTGTGGCAATTAATATATGTACAAATGCACTCTTGGCGGTATTTTACATAATAGCAAGAGCCTGGAAACAATATATGGGTATATTAGTAGCGGAATGGATAAGTAAGTTATAGTGCATTCACACAAACAGTATCAGTCAGAATGAGACAGATTTGTTTGCGGCACTGGAGTGCTCTGAGTGCATTTTGCATTGGGTTGCAGGCATTTTACATTTGCCGTTTTGTCATGTTTCCTTAAAAAGGGCCCCTGCAATGGTATCAGCTTCAGGCTTCACGAAATCCACATACACTCTGGGCCCCAATACACCTGGGAGATGGACGCATTCCTGTTAGTAACAGAGGCTCATACTGCAGTGAGGGGAGATGAAGGAGCATGAGGAGGATGTGAGGGAAAAGCTCCACGGGTGATTCTCATATGTTCTACCCCTTTGAGATTCACATCACTCTGTGCTCAACCCACGAACCCCAAGCCTGCACAGACCCCATCCCTCACACCTTCTCCCTCAGGCTCCCAGCCACTCTACTCTCAGATGAAGACTAACTGACCTCTGTAGCCCAGTCCCTGTGGCCCTCCCCCACTTCACGGCGCCCTCTGCCTCGGTCAGCCTAGTTCTCACAGCCAGCCATCCCGGCTCGAGCTGCTGCTTCTCCCTGGCATTTCTGACCTCTGGTTTGAAGCACAGCTGTGTTGTTATGTTTAAGAAGATGGCACTGTCCTGAAGTTTCCAGGTCATATTCTAAGCTGATCAGTCTTCTTGGAGACAGACAGCCTCTAAACAGTTCTTAGCTTTTAAATATCACCCGGGCTTTCTTTCGCTTTCTGTTTGTCTCCCTTTTGCCAGTTTCAAATACAAGCTGTTTCAGGGTGTGTGTGTGTGTGGGGGGGGGGTCAGCAGGAGGAGCAGTTATAGAAATTCTGAGGAGGGTGGGGAGTAAACCAGGCTGGCAGGAAAGGTTACTGATATATAAGTCAAGAAGTGAAGTTATATTGCTTTAAAAAACCCTACAATTTAAAAAAAATAAAGGAGGCAGGGAACTTTGAAAAATAGGGGGCAGACTGAGGGGTAGCTCCATTTTATTCCATGTACTCTCTCAAATCTTTCTCCTTTCCTCCCTCCCTTCCTCCCTTCCTCAAAACAAAAAATAACTAGGAACACCATAAACCTTTCTTTTTGCTATCCGCATTATTTTGTGGTGACTCAGGTTCGGTGTTCACCTGATTTGCTTTCAGACTTATAAAGCAAAGGCTACTTCGGGTACTTTCACATGGGAAATTCCAACTCCATGACTAGAGGAAAGCAATTTATTTTTTAAAAGTTGAACTGAGCCCTGGCTGGTGTGGCTCGGTTGGAGTGTCATCCCGTTAAAAGCCTGCAGGTTTGATTCCTGGTCAGGCACATGCTTGGGTTGTGGGTTGGATCCTCAATCCCCGATCCCCTGTCCCAGGGCCTAGGATGCTTCTCTCTCACATCAATGTTTCTATCTTTCCCTTCCTCTCTATCTCTAAAAGCAATGGAAAAAAATGTCCCCTGGTGAGGATAAAATTAAAAAGCAAAATAAAATGAAACTGAACCATACATACAATTATATAGCAAGAGTGAACAAGAGAGATGTGGTTTAAAACCAGCCATTTTCCATCAGTCAAGAAAATTCTGTCAGAAACTCCAGCCTCCGTCACTGTCCGCAGCCCCTCCCCACTTCCCTTCCCAGTGGCAGAAAACGGATGTCTCAAAACCAGCCAGGCACCACACAGCTGGCAGACTCAGAGCTTTCCAGTTACCGGAAAGGGGCCACGTTCCTGTGGGTCACAATGAAGTGACACAGGCTCACTTCAGACCCAGTCTCAGCTCTCGAGCAGGAAAGCTCACCCAGGGAGGCACCCAGAAGACTCTGCCCTGTATTAAGGGGCAGAGAGCACTGCCCCAGGACTCCACCTCTCACCTCCCCAGGTTCCCGCCGGCTTGTCACCAGGGGAAGCTGGAGAATGACATTGCCAACCATCGTGTGCACCTCATGGCTCTGATGGCTGGCAGAGGCCCAGGGGACTTTCTACACATTTGGGACTTAAATGGGCTGTCAAACTGTCAACATAGAAGGGTTTATGTGAGCCAAACTGAGGACATGCGTGGAAGCAACATCTCAGTGGTCCGAGAAGATGCTCCTGACAATGGCAGTTTTGCAGTTCTTTTTACGCATTTGGAATTAAATAAGGGAACATTAGGAAGACTGCATGAAAATCCATTGGAAGTAGATTAAGGAGGTGGGAGAAAGCAAGGGGGGTATGAATTTATGTGATTGGATTACAAGACAGTTAACATTTCACATTTGCAAGAAATAGGGACGGTGTGTGGGCAGCCAGATAATGTGCTCCCTTGAGGGGGCTTATACCTGCAAGGCGTCTGGCATTTCAAAGGTGTATTAACTCAGATGCACAAGATGGACAGGGCTTGCTTAAAGCAAAGATAACACTTCTACCAGGAACGTTATAGGCTAGGGCCATCACTATCCACCGTGATCTGCCCAGTTAGGAATTTATGAGCTGTTCACCCTGGGAGGCTACTTTCTGTCACTGAGCATGTCAGATTAATTACATGGCCCCCTTTTCTTTCCCCAGACTTCCGGAATTTCCTGCTAAGGCCTGCTGTTGGGCAGAAGCACTTCAAAGACTTCTCAGGTAAGACGACTAATTGGATGGGAAGGTTCCAAAGGCATCCCTTTCTCCGGAAAAGAGCCGCACACTGTGCAGAAGGACAACTAAAGCCCCTTTAGGAGAAAAGTAAGCCTATGTTGCTGGAACTGTGGAGGGACTGGCCCTTCAGGCGACTTGATGCTTTCTGCTCCCACACAAGTCCATGCCCCAGAGTCTCACCTCAGCTTGCATCAGAGCTGCTACCTGGTCTCTGCCATGCCCATGCTCATCCCAACCATTCTCCACACAGCTGCAAAGTCACTGTGTGCATCCGGAATGAGATGTGGGTCCTGGTTAGCAACTGTGCCCTCAGGTCCATGGTTACCTTCTCAGCCAAGGTTTCTCCAACCAGTGACGTGGTGGTGCCCCTCTAGCACTTACCGCATTCCACGGTCATATTTTCTTACAGCACTTAATGATGACCCAAAATCATTGCGTTTATTTATGTACACCTTTTACAGTGCCTGGCATGTGGAAGGCATGCAAGAAAATATTTATCGACTGCCTTACTGACTCAATGAATGCATGCTTGACTGAAAGATACAAGAACGCAAGAGCTAAAAGTGTTGCAAGAATGAGACCTAATCCTGAGCGATACTCCGCTTGTGGCACACACGGCCTCAGAAGTGACTCAGGACCCCCAGCCTGGATGCCTGAGTCAGTTTTAGCTAATGGAGTTGAATCAATTTAGGCAAATGCAAATTTGTCAATAGAAGAATTTGGACCAAATTGTATTTGGGAGAACATTTTGCTACTATGTCATGGGAAGATTTTTTAGCTCTATCTTTTATCAATTTGGTCTGTTTTTCTAAAAATTCTTTTCTTTGTATTTTTTAGATTTTCATTAACTTTGGCTTTTTAAATATCCAACAATCAAAAGTGTATGAAAGTAAATCTGATTTCCTTGATTTCTGTGTATAACAAACATCTGATTTGTGTCAGGCAGTGTGCCGGGCGCTGGAAATACTATGAACACGTCCTTGCCCTCTGACTATTTCGGGGAGAAATAGACATAAAACGAACCAAGAAAAAGCCAATTTTGATAGGCACTGTGAAGAAAAAACACCAGGAGCTGAGATGAGAATGCCCACTTTTTGTAGGGGAGTGAGGAGGGCTTTTTTGAAGAATAACATGTTGAAATGATCGGAAGAAGCTACTTTATGAAGGGTAGGGAAAAGTGTATTTCAAGGTGTAGGTGCCACATGCAGCGTCACTGAAGTAGGAAAGAGCTTCTCTGTTTCAAGAACTTAAGGAAAAACAGTGTGACTGGGGCACAGTGAGTGGAGAACATGGCACAGTGACAAGCTGGCCCCTGGGGCCTCGTGGGCCACGTTGGTGAGTTTGGATTTCAAGTGCGGAGGCTTCTCAAAGGAGAGTGATGCCATGTTATTTATGCCTAAGGAAGGTTGCTCTGGCTTCTGTGTAGACTGATGCCGGGCAAGTGTGAGGGTAGGGACACTTGAGAGAAGGCTGTTGCATAATCCACATGGAGGGGCTGGTGGTCAGGGCTGGTGGGGGCAGTGGAGACTGGGAGAAGGGGGGGTTGGAGTTACAAGAGGCAGCAGAATTGGGAGGAGTTGTCGTTGGTGAATTCGATTTAGGAACTGACTCAGGTACAGGTATCAGTCAGTGTCGAGTTGGGAAAACAAACCAGCTATTTCAAACGGAGGGAATATATCCTAAGGAAATTAGGTTATCTGTTAGAATGTTTTCCCAACATTCCAGTACTAGTAGTACTTTTCAGTACTAGTAGTTACAAGACTGTTGCAAAGTTTGGAGAAACAGAGAGAGGAAGGTGTGCTAGCCTAGAGATGAGCACCTGCAGGAAGGCAGGACCACTCCTAAAGCTGGAGGGAAAAAAGTGGTGGTGATGTTATCAGCCCAGAAATGTCTGGCATCTGACACTGTGTGAAGCTGCTGATGCTCTTGGAACTGGCGCTGCCCCAGCCACTGATGCTGTTGCTGGAACTGCTGATGGCTCCTGGAGCCCACATCGCTGCCACCACCACTGCCAGAAGCTTTAAAACAAAGGGTCTCTCCTTCATTCCGTCCAGTTTTCCCACCAGTGCTTCACACTGGCAGCATCTAACTGGGCCAGTTGGCAAAGGCGTCTGGGAAATGCAAGTCACAGGATTCCAGCCCCCTCTAACAGTACACACAGCGGCAGGAATGGTGCTCAGTGCCAACAAGCCAATGAATCCCATATTCTTTTAAAAAAGGTACATTTATTTTTTACTACAAAGGCAATATGTATCCATTAGAAAATAATTAGAAAATACATACAAACAGAACATTAAAAACTGTCATAGTCCCACTCAACCAGAAACAGTAATTTCTTTTTAAATTTTATTTACTTATTTTTAGAGAGGGGAAGGGAGGGAGACACATCAATGTGTGCTTGCCTCTCACGCGCCCCCTACTGGGGACCTGACCCACAACCCAGGCATGTGCCCTAGACTGGGAATTAAACCAACGACCCTTAGGTTTGCAGGCTGGCACTCAGTCCACTGAGCCACATTAGCCAGGGCTAGAAACAATCACTAATAACATCTTGGGGTCTGTCTCTCAACAAGGGACTCTACATTTGGTTTTGTAACCCACAGCGTTAATTTTGTTGCAATAAAATATTTGCCAGATATTTACTTTGTTCCAAGTAGTTCCCAGTGTTGAATATTTATGTTTTACGAACATTTTCCTATTATAAATATAAATAGGAATTATTGCATGAAAACAAATTTGCAGTTTGAGAAAACAGTTTATAAAGAGTACAATCATAACCTGTAGTTTGACTATTATGAGATTTTTTTGCTTAGGTAGAAAGAGGAAACTAACTATTTTAGACATAAGGTAAAACACCTGGTCTTCTATCCAGTTGCTTTGCTTTGCTGGGAAGCCAAAAGCAATGTAAAATTTCAGAGCTGGACATGTGCGCACAGTCTGGAGCCGGAGAGGAGCTTAGTCGCAGATGCACTTGAACTGTCCCGCTAACAGCTCTCTGTCTTCATAGAGTCAGACCTCTGGGGTGTGCGAAAGGGGTGACATCTGAGACAAGGTGTCTTTCAGAGTAGACCCATTATTATGGCCACTTGGCAACTGTCTTTGGTGTTATCTGTTAGAATATTTTCAACTACAAGTGGCTGAAAACTGTGACTTAAATTGACTTTAAAAATGATGTATCCTCTCCATAACTGGAAGTCCAGAGGTAGGGCAGTTCTCCCGGAATAGGTAGATAAGCTCTCAGTGATGTCGCCAAGGTCCCAAGTCCTTCTGACACACCGCCTGCCTTTCTAGGTGTTGGCTTCACCCCAGGACCGGCTCCCTTCGTGGGGACTGGGTGGCTGCCAGAGGCCGCAGAGCTGCTGGTTTCCGTTTTCTGTGTTTGCAGGGAAGGAAAAGAGAGAGCTTTCCCTTTGATATCAACTCTTTACTGGTGATTTCCAATACTGCTGTACATTAAAATCACCGGGAGTGCTTCTTGAATTATTTATTGTTGTTATTTCATTTTTATTTTGTTTGTTTTCTTGCTTTTTAAAAAAATTATTGATACCGAGGCCTTATCTTTAGCCATATTAATTTATTAGCCTGAGGTGGGTCCCAGCTGGAAGCAGGTTTAGAAGCTCCTAAGTAATTGTAATGTACAACCAGGGCAGGGAACCATTGGCTCAGGCTGAGGTCACCTGCCCATCACTAGACTAACAGTCACCAGGAGAATACTGACTGGCTTAGAAAAATGGATGCCCCTCAGACTGTGCTTGCCCCTCCCCCCACCCGTAGAAGCAGCCCCTGGGAACCTGTCAGAGATGCGAATTATCAGGCACCACCCAGACCCACTGATTCGGAAACTCTGGGGGTAGGGTCAGCAATTCGTGTTTCAGAAAGCTCGCCTGGTGATTCCAAAAGACCCACTGCCTCAGACCAACCAAGCTCCTTCTGCAGAGCCAGGGAGGAGAGAAACATGTGCACCAGAGCTGAGGTCTGGTGGCACAGTGGACCACAGGACACGGGGGCCCTTGGTACTCCCTCCTCCCAGCACCGGCCAGAGAGGGGAAAATCCCAGAGACTCCTGGCTGCAAACAGAAGGTGCCCGAGGTGGCCACCGAGCCTCAGCCACGCAGCGGGCTGGGAGGAGGGGGAGCCATGCTCCGTGGGTGTGTGGCCCTCCGTACCCTGGGGAGCCTTTGGAAGCTGCTACAGGAGCTACAGGGCTGGAATGACTGACTTGGCACACACTTCCCCCCAAACACTGTGAGTTCATTTCAACCGTAGTGCAATTTCACTAGGATCATGGAAAAGAAAAAGGCCGTTAGGTAAAAACAAAGGAAGTGTGAATGCCATAAGGACTTCAGTTAATAATATATCAATATTCATTCATAAGTTGTGACGTGTACCGTACTAATGTCACATGTCAACGGGGGCAACTGGGTGTGGGGGGTGTGGGAACTCGATGTGAGTCACCTGTCCTGTAAATCGAAAACTACTCTAAAATTTAAAAATACGCTATTTTAAATAAGGGACATTGAGATACAAAAACCCTTTGTAAAAGGCTTTATAAAATGAAGCACAAAGTTTCCTTAATGCATTCATACTAATGTGAATATGACACTGCTGTATTTTTATGATCGATGCAATTTTTTTGCCATATTTTTAGCCAGAGCGAGTGCTTTTTGGGCATTTTCAGCTTAAATAAGAGTCGAACTGGAAAATGTTAATGAAATTACTGGTAGGTCTCACTTCCCAGAATCTGTACACGGCCTGAGTTATCAAAGAGCACTCATCCATGTGCTCAGAAACAACTAAGAACTCATACAGAAAGTCACTTCCTTTCCCCTTGGACTTGGACAGAAGGAGGACGCCTGGGGACTCCACAGGGAATGGGATATGAGCGAATGCATCTCACCCTGACCGAGTTCATGGCAGTGAGCTCAAGCGTAAGTTCCCTTCAGGTGCCGACCTCTGGTTTCACCCCCTCCATTTAACTTAAATGTGCTTCTTGGGTCCCGAAGGTTGAGCCTTGCAGCCCAGTGGACAGGAGGGTGGCTCGTTACCAACAGCTGCTCTCCACAGACTACACGTCACTGGAACGTGCGACTGCCGGCAACACTGGGCCATCGCTGGAAAGGAGCAAGGAGCTAACGCCAACTTGTAGTTTGGAAGATTCCTCCTAATATCCCCTGTTAAGTCAGTTATGGTAGTTTGGCTTATCTTCCTCCTTTACCAAGTACCAGTAAGGCAACTGACAACTAAAATTTTCATTGCAGGTAAGAGTGTGATAATTAAGAGTCGTAGCAAAAAGGTACTGAAGGGCAGTTCTGGTGGTGACCGCCTGCGCCCAACAGCATGCCCTGCTAAGGCTCTCTCTCACCCCCGTGCAGAAGAGCAGGGGAAGGAAAACAGGAAGGAGCACTCGGTGCACAGCCCCAGTCGGTGTGAAGTACCCAGGAGGCTGTAAATCACCACTGTCTCTAGCCACGCACCAGGGGCAGTTTTGTGTGTTGGCTGCTTTTTTGGCCGACAGGAGGACCAGCTGGGCTTGCAGAAGGATGCTCCTTCAGAATGAAGCAGCACTAAAAGCACCCAGTTAGACAAGTGGGTCACCATCCCAATAAACACATTTTGGCTTAAAAAAAGAGGAGAGAGAGAGGGAATACTTAAGGACAAACATGTTGCCATGCCAAGCAAATGGCTCAAAATAATCTTTTTTTCCTGCTCTTACTACCTTGGCATCTCTCGGATTTTGTCCATCATTGTTTTACTCTCACTGTGTGACCTTGGCCGTAGCCTCTCTCTGTTTCACTTTTGTCATCTTCACAATGGGGAAATATCAACAGTACTGATTCCTTGGGGATATAATAAGAATTGATCAAAGTAATGTTTGTAACACTTTTAGCACAGTGCCTGGAATATGGTTTACCAAAGGGTTTGTTTAATAAATTAGTAAGTATGAGCCCTTGCCCACTATGAAGCCATTCAGTGTTTAACAATAAGCCTCTTGACGATATGGTCTGGCAAGAACATGGAAGGGAAGGGAAGCATGGCAGGACGTTGAAGGGGCAGAAGACATATAGACAGTTTTTATGAGAAATAAAAAAAGAATGTAATGCAACCCTTCCATGAGATTGGTAGAGAAGTAAAATGACACGGCCCTTTGGAAACCAGTTTGGTGCTTCCTCAAAAAGTTAGACACGGAATTACCATGTGACCCAGCGAGTCCGCTCTTAAGTATGTGCCCAAAAGAATTGGAAAGCAGGTAATCAATAGCCAGAAGGTGGGAACAACCAAATATCCATTAGGTTATGAATGACTAAAGAGATGTGGTCCACCCATACAATGGAATATCATTCAGCCACACCAGGGAACACAGTACTGATGCATGGCACAATGTGGATGAACCCGGGAAACATTTTATTCAGTGAAAGAAGACAGACACGAAAAGCCGCATATC